CCCACCCTTCCCAAAAAAACCTTTTTTGATTTTTTTAATTTATTATTTTTGCTAGAGATCAATTAAATTTAAATTTGTGAATGCAAAATTTATTTTATGAAGCGATACTTATGATATTATTTTCTATTTTCATGCGCTCAAATTTGAGGCTTCAAGTTAAGAGCGAATGAATTTCAATTTTCAACCATTCCAGGTCAGTTAAAAAAACACATTTTTTGCTCTTTTTTTCTACCATATTTTAATTTTTCAATCACGTGACATGTGTAATATAATTTTTCAAACAAAATCGAGCCAGTATATACTTATAATGTCATATAAATGTCCTGTTGAATGGTGACAGTAAAAGTAAAGAAACACTATTCCATTTGAAGAAAGAAAATAATTAAATCCGGCTCCCCTCTATTATCCTTTCCCTTTATTTCGTCAAGTACACGTCTAGATTAGAGACATGTGTCATATTTAAAGTTTAAAGGTCAAAAGTATATTATATTAACAAATATCATAATCTTAGTTAAGTCAACTAATTTTAGAAAACTCTCCAAATTTGGTAAGAATTACAATATATTCTAAACAAAATTTGACATTTATTAATATCATTAATTTCATATTATGTTTTTGTATTTAATTATTAAATTGTATGATATTTAAGGTGAGAAACAACTAAACAATTTATGTACTAGTAAAATTTGCTCTTGAAATATTATATATACTATATTGAGAAACAAAACAAAAAAGTTAAGAATTATCAGTGTGGAAAAAAACCATAAAATAAAAGACACGAAATAAAAATAAAAAATAACAAGATGAAAGGTTTTTAGAATTAAACGTAAATACCAAAATTATTTCAAGGAGAAAATAAGGCTATTGTGTTTGTAGGGGAAAAAATATAGTATGTTTTTTTAAAAATAAATATTCTTTTATCTTTTTTTTTGTGTGAAATAGAAGATAACATTGTTTTAAATGCAAATGTTTTTGAAGATTATTATATATCACATTAAATATAAATGTTTCATGTTCTACAATTTTAATATTTAAATGTAAATGAAAAATATAAGATGAAATTAATGATATTAATAAATATCAAATTTGTATGGAATACATTGTAATTCTTACCAAATTTGAAGAGTAATTTTCTAAAACTAGTTGACTTAATTATGGTTATGATATTTGTTAATATAATATAATCTTGACGTTTAAACTTTAAATATGACACATGTCTCTAATCTAGACGTGTACTTGACGAAATAGAGCAAAAGGATAATGGATGGGAGCCAGACCCCTCATTAATAATCTCTCTGAAATATTTCAGTATACAAATGAAGGAAATCAGGAATCTAACAAGTCACTGATATTGTCTGCTCTCTTCTTATGTTACCTCAACCAAATACAGGGTCTTTGGAAGCAACAAAAAAAAAAATCAACTTTTTCATATTTGGTTATCAAAATAATTTGAAAAATATTTTTGATGATTTTACATACTATACAACTTTTTAAAAAATTATTATTTTAAGAAAATTACATAAATACAATTTATTTCAACTTTTTAACTTATTAATTATTATATACAACTATTAATTTCATTTCTTCCTTTTAATCAGAGGTCTCGGATTCAAGTTTTGGATATAAAAAAGTCTTTGCTATGAAAAAGTTCTTGCTAGCTAATCGAGCTTTAATGCGAGTGCTCTATGACTGTGCGCCTGGCCGGTATGGCCAGGGAACGACCGGAGAAGGGTGGCAACATGGTTATTGAGAGCAATGAAGTGTACGTAATTAATAACTTAAAATTATTTAAGAACTTAAAAAGATTTTATTAACTCTGGAAATTCTATCAATGTCATATAATTTGGGATCGAGGGTGTAACCTATAATATTTGAAAATTACGTAAAAAAGTATTATAAATCACAATAATTAACAATTTAAAATATTAAAAAATCATATAAAAAAATTTGATTCTCTCTAAATTCCATCTATGTTACATAAATTGAATCAAAATAAGTACATGATTGTAATATATATAGAGCCATATATTAAGGTTGTGTTGATACGAACTCCTATATCTAGTATATATATAGAGCTTCTGTATGATAAAAAAAAAATCAACCAAAACGATCGCATATATATAATATATCAATATTGTATAAACATGTATATATGATGTATAATAACATATTAAAGATATATATGTATATATACATTGTTTATACAATTATATACATTACAATCAACATCTCAATAAAATGTTTCAGATAACACCATAGAATTAACGTAGATTTATAATCAATTAATTTAATGGATAGTTTATCTTATGTATATATACTTTTAAAAAATATTGTATATGTATATACAAAGATTAAAGCCACCATCAACCTTCACATGATTTTAACATCTCTTTAACGGTTGTATGATAGTTTCATCTTGTGACCAAGAATTGCCAATATCTAGTATCTATCCTTTCATAAAAAGTTTAAAGTATCTTTATTATTGGACATGAAAAGCTCCACCTTAGGTACGAGCTTCAAATGATTTTGATACCTCTCAATTGTTGTGTGGTAGCTTTATCTTGTGCTAATAAGTGATTAATTATTTTTTAGTGGTTCTTTGGATTATTATCTTACTACAATCATATGATCAAGAACTTTATATTATTTGGATTATTACATTGCTATAAACCTCTTTCAAATTAACAAATTCATCTAATTTTCCTAAGAATTACACTTATTAAGCTATACAACACCCTAAATTGCTTTTCCTTTTCTCATTTACTTTAGTCTAGGTTCAAAATTTTCCAAAAAAATAAAAAACAAAACTACTTGTCCCAACCATGCATGAATTAGTTATACATAGGCCCAAATTCTTACTAAACATAGTTCTAAATAATATCATACATAATACATGAACTATCTCTTCTAATACCTCCTACCAAACAACCCCTTAATTTATTAGTTGAACTTACATTTTGGCGTGGATTTGATTTTACACCTTATAATCCATTCACAATTTCTCCTTTCCCTTGATTTCCCTGTAACTTTAAAAAATTAAAAAAAATCCCTAGCAAAAGAAAAGATAAACTATTGCATATTTTTTATTTTTATGTCATCCAATCAAAATGTATGTTTTCATAGAAATACTTAGTTTAGTTGTTTGAAAACTTGAACAAACTTAATTCTAAATCATCATGTGCTAAATCATTGATATTCTACGGCAAGTATAGAGAGAGATTAAAGAAAGTCAGCTTAATTATAAATAGAATAAATAGGTCAAATCAACAATTAAGATTATTAAACTTGATTTCTCAAATAAAATAAAATTATAAGTTGATTTTTGAACAGCTATCTCTTAGCTGTGTACATGTGTGGTCAAAAAGTAAGAATGATTTTCTTTCCTCTTTAGTTTGTTTCAAAAGGAATGATTTTTATTTTTTTAATAATATTTTAATTTCAACTTTTCACGTGGCATGTTTAATATCACAAGATTAAAAGACAGTTTTATACATTTGACATAACTTTAATTTAGAATTAAAAGATTCAAAAGTCTTCTTTATTTTCCTGTGCCAAGTGAAACGGACGGAGTAGTATTTATGCGTTTTATCAATTGTCATATGTAAGACGTTCTACCTCACAACATTACTAAACTAATACCTTAATTATATAAATATCGTAACAGAAATATTATAAACAAAGATGGAAGGTTATTAGATATGTTTATTTTAATCAATGATGACGAGCCAGATGATGAAATCACACACATTTTTTAAATTTAATCTAGTACCATAAGTACTAGAATATCAATTTTTGGAAGTTTCATAACCTACGTATCGTATCTGGAATGATTAAATTATTTTTGTACTATACTACTTAGGGATAAGGCAAAGGTTTTGTCAGATTAATATTTTTTTATAAAAAAGTTTGATAGTATCTGGAATCATTTTAATTAAATTTAGTACAACCAATTTTGCCCATTATAATATACGTACTGTGAAGCTTTAGGTTATGTCTCTCTCATCTCATCATAATAACCATTTCTTCCTTTCTGTGTCCTCGAGAAGTAATGACGATGGTGACAATTCGTTGACATTAAGTGATATTTCTTAAAATAATTCAGTAAAACAATATTATATCGATTGATATGTATATAATTTATATTCTTTTTATATTATAGATAGGTTGATTAATTGGAGTATTAGACGTACACCACATTGTATCCACATATATATATATAATTTTTATATACGAATCTATACAAATTTGTAATGTGTAAGCTCTCAAAACTCCACAATTTCAATTTATAGGTTTATATTTCGGTAGAAACATTGACCCTATAAATTAAGATTTTTTGATATAAATTTTGATTAGTCGAACTTTAAAAGCGAGTATAGGACATATTTTGATGAAAAATGTTGTAATAGAAAGTGTAGAACTTTTGAGCCTTGATGGTAAAATATGATTTCATTTTATTAATGTTGGACTTTTCTTTGTGATAAGTTACTTAGTTTATTAGTGTACGTCATATCAAAGCTTATATGCAAAAGAAAAAGAAAAAAAGTGGGCTACGTTGTACTGTGCTTCTGACAAACACAAATCATTTTCATGGAAAAGAAATGGGCAATATAATAATGAGGCTTTTTTTACTCATTTAGGAAACAAGGTTCCAGTGAATGGTAATACTCCCTCCGTTCCATTTTATACGTTATATTTTTACTTTGCGCTTATATTAAGAAATAATGTAACTTTACTTTTCTATTCTTATTTAATGTTTTCTTAAGTCAACTTTATTAATAAATGACAAGATTAATTAACTATTCTGTTAAGCGTATAATAGGCAAAATATGACAATTTATGCATAAATTTTATAAAATGACAAATATTATGATCCAGCTATTTATAGAAAAGAAATGACATATAAAATGAGACAATACTTTTACTACATGTCAAAAAGAATGAGGACAAAAATAATGGAATAAAATGAGAATATGTATTGGTAAATAACAACATATAAGTCACAAGAGAGACCATCAAAATTAAAAAACATTTATTTAGTAGCTGTACTTGTGGATAGTATAAATTGGCAGCTTACATGAGTCAGAAAGTTATCCAAAAGAAATCTAGTTCAATATCTCTTCTTCAGTTAGCTTTGTACCAATTATATCCATAGACTTGGATCTCTCAAAAGCTTTTTCCCATCAAGATTAACCTGTCAATATTATATTATATTACATTATATATGGTTTACATCACAACTCTTTAGGTGCGGTTAGCTAGCTCTCTTGTCTAATGCGGAATGTTTTGTGCAACGATTGTCTTGTATATATATATAGAGAGAGAGAGAGAATTAGTTGGAGGGTCTGGTGAGAGAGTAGTGAAAGCCATTTTTGTGAGGCCAGTTTTGATGTCTTAATATCTGCTGAGGGAATCCTGATGATGCTGCAGCAGTTGCAAATAGGTGAGGAGGAGCAACATTATTGCTTTGCCATTGTTGAGTATCTCTTCTATTGCTGCTGCTTGGAAACTGAACCTGTATCATCATAATTCTTAACATCTTTTCATGAAACATAACAAAATAAATATTTCTACCTAGAGCAATTATATTATTAACTCCAGATAGGGGGTCATTTGGCTCAAAATAATCGTTATCTTAGAATTATAATTAACAGTATAAAATTTGCCGCCTTATTGATTAATGTGGGTATTAGCTAAAACCAAGATATAACTTATACCAAAATCATTTTACAAGAAAAGAACTTAATCAATTTAACTTATTATAGGCGAGGTAATCTATTTTATTTTTCAGACAACTAGTTCTACTTATTATAGGCATCTACTTGTATCACTACAAAAAAAAAAAAGTGGTGGATTTTAAAAAAATTATGGGATAAATACCTACAAATTAAATGATTTGATTGAGTAAACAAAAAATTAACAAGTTAAAGTCATGTAAAATTGGTTACTCACTTGATAATTTGAGGAGGTGAATTGTGGTGGAATCATTTGGGAGTCACCAGCTCTCATATATTGGCCAAACCTTTGCATTTCATTGCTATTTGTCTTGAAGGAGCCTGGAGAATGTAGGTGCGTTTGGCTCAAGAGTTGCAAGGTATCCGTCTCATTGACCACATTTCTTCTTCGCCCATATTCCATATCAATCGGACTATGTTGCTGCTGAAATTGAAACATGCACGTATTATTATAAGGAGTAAAAAAAAACACAATAAGAGTTGAGAAGAAATTAAGCTACAAAAAGTAAATTTAACTTGTATACATAGGAGAATGTAGAGATAGGATCCTTAATTTCACCATATGTACTATACCTTGAGCCTCGACCCTTGGTGGCGCCAATCAACATCAAATTGCATAGAAGAATAATTTTGATCCTTATTAGTATCCTCCATTTCTCCCCTCTTTTGCTTTGAGCTCGAGCTACCTAAGCTTAAATCAAGGCTGTGATCTGCTGCTTTATTACTAGATTCTGAAAACGCCACATTTATAAATGTTTGTCAGAAAACTTTTTTCTTCATTTTTTTCTTTAAAAAAAAAAACAAAACAAATACACAAATGTACCAGATGAATTAAGTTCATTTTCATAAATGCAAGGATCGAAGTTAGTGACTGCATCCTTGCCATTACAGTTGATGGCAGCTTTATCATAAGCCCTATTAAAAAGAATAAAAAAGAGGATTTTTTTAGCCCACTAGCAGCAATTGTAGTGCAAAAAATACAAAATAAATTCAGCACCACACAAACCTGGCAGCTTCATTTTCAGTATCAAAGAGTCCCAAATAAACGTACCTATTCAAAAATATTTTCTTAGAAAATTAGCTACCAAGCAAGCAAGGAATTAATTAATGACATTGGCAACAAAATAAATTGAGGATAATATTATTATACTTTTTGCCCAATAATTGGCCCATTCTAGCTTCCCATCTACCACATTTGTGCAATGTCACCCCTCTATACTTAGAACTTCCCCTCGGAAAACCAGTACTTTGCCTCCGCAGTACATGAACAAATTCTTCCTTCGTTAGATTCTTCATCTGCATCATACATACACAACAAACCAAAACCAATATTACAACACAAGGGAGAAGTATAATCAAAATGTTTCGTCTCAAAAATATTAAATTAACGCATATAGACTGGCATATAGTCAATAGAATCATGTTTAATGAGTATTGTTATTAGAATCTAAATTCCGAACTCTCTGGGTGTAGAGTAAACAACTGTTGAAGATAAGAAGAATCATTATTATTTTTTTAAGATAAGGCCGGAGAGAGTGAAATTCACTAAAGTAGTTGTACTCCAGCTAGAAAAGCACATAATTATTTCATATATATATATGATCTGATCTGATCTGATAATATCATGAACCTACCTACCTGTTTTAAATCTTCCTCATAATCTTCCAGGTTAAAGTTTATGTCCGCCTCCACTCCACGAAACTTTATTGCTGCCCTATCATACGCACTGCAAAAACAAATTTTTCAATATCCACAAGTTTTTTTTTTATTCTTTTTCAAAAAACTAGCAATGCTAAAGAGCTCACCGAGCAGCAGCATGTGCTGTATCAAATCCGCCTACAAAATATAAATTCCGCGAAAATCAACATACTAAACATATACATACAACTTCAGCTCAGAAATAAATGGAAAAAAAAAAACCGTACCTAAATAAACTTGCTTTCCACAATCCCTGAGATATAATATATATATACACCAAATGAATGAGAAAACACAAGTATATATGAGGAAGAAAAGAAAAGAAAAGAAACCGTTAATCAAAGTTATAGAGACTGACCATATATGTGATTCCCAGCGGCCAGTTCTCCGATAAAAAGTAACACCACGGTACTGTGAGCTTCTAGACCTTGGACCACGCCGGCTTTTTTTCATTGGCTGCACCTGTACCTGCACCTGCACCTGCGACAACTCACTACCCTTTCCCAATACTGCTGTCGATGGCTCCGGTTGGTAGAATTTTACTCCAGCCCAATGGGCCCTTGGAAATCTACAAGATCTATCATTAAAATTGCCACTTCCGATTTCCGACTCATCAACCGGAAAAAACTGCCGGGTAACCGGTGGTTCACTCTCCGACGATAAGTTACCGTCGTTATTATTATTATTATTATTATTAGGTGGAGCAATCATAGAGAAGCCAAATATTTTACTAGGAATACTTTTCTTTTTCTTGCCTTTTAGTCCATTTTGTTCAAGAAATTCATCTTCTTCTTCTGAACCGTATAATTCCTCAACAGCTGATGAGCTTGAATTTGAAATGGATCGTTCAACACCTTTACCTTCTTCTGATTCATAGTCCCTTCTATGATCTGGAGAGTTGTTTAGATTCCACATTTCTTTCTCTACAAGTCAAACAATCATACAAACAAGAAGAAAATAAAAAGGATCGGAGAAGAATTTCAAGAGTTTTGGTTGCTTAGCTCTCTCATCTCACCTAAAATTTGACCATGGCTGAAACTTCCTCCCTCACCTATAAATATTCTTTCTTTTTTTTCTGGTTTCTTTCGACTAAATTGATATGTGGAGTTGAATCTGAACTATAATGGTAAAATGGAACTTTTTGAAAGAATATAATAACACAAGAAAAACGATGACTTATAGAGAGAGAGAGGTTAAGTTGTTACAAGAAAAGGTTAGAGAGAGAGTGTTTTCTATTCCTTTTTACTTCTCACTGACTTGATACTTCTTTTCAAGAAATTAGTGCACAAGCTCGCTTTTTAAATTACGTCTCGAATTTGAATTTTGAGTATGCAATTTTTTTAAAAAGAAGTGCTTCCTTCTAATAGAATTTTATGTCGCATGAATTTAAAATAATCGAGCTTCAATACATTATCAAAACCAAGTGGAAAACTAAAAAAATAAAACTATGAAATGTGTTATGGCCAAATATGTTTTTTGAAATTCAATTCGAGGAAACAAAGTATTTGGCCATAAAATTTTGTAATTCAGTTTGTTGTTAGAATTCCAGAATTTCACTCCAACTAACTCAAAAATGAAAACAACTCAAAATTTCAAATACTTCCTCCATCCCAGATAGTTTGACTTGACACGGAATTTAAGAAAGAAAAGAAGACTTTTAAAACTTGTAGTCCAAAATAAATTATAGAAATTTGTATGACTGTAAATCATTTCACAGGTAAAATAAATATTTTATAGTTAAATTGTTACTTAATATAGAAATGTGTCATTCTTTTTGAAATTAAACAAAAAAATTACTATTTTTCACTTTAAAAATAAAAATAACATTTTTAAAAATTTTACAATAAAACATAATCAAACACCTATTTCATATCCATTTACTTTGCTTATAAACTTTGAACTTTTTTAAAATAATAATAATGATCACATTAATTGATAGTATATAGTTTCAATCAGAAATAAATAGCTGCCCAATACAGGGATAAAGTAGGCCAGGCTGCTTAGAACCCCTATACGGAAGTAGCCAACCACAACCGTTTGGATTTTAATTATATTAGCACAAAAAAAGTATGCTATCTTCTATTATTTTTCACATGTACTTTTTTAAAAATTATATGTCAGATAATTAATCTCATTTTTAAGGAGGATTAATTGTAATACTAACGTTTTAAAAATGATTTATTAATAATATATATAAAAGTTATTTTGTACTATCCCTTATATAAAAAGTTAAAACTCCACCCACCCCTATATATGGCTACCAAACCTGCCCAATCCTTTGGTGTTTTTTTCTCTGGCTAGTGCCTATGACTTGCCAAACCATCTATAGTAGTATCTCTTTATTCCCAAGTGACTGGTGAAGACCACCAGTTTTCCCCATCTTGTTAAGTCATTCATAAATACTTTTTCTTCTCCTTTAACTTACTTTTTCTATATTTACATATCCTAAATATAGTTTTTTTGTGTACTCATGAGGTAATTTGAATAATCATACACTTAAGAGATAAAGTCTTATTATATTGTAGTAATTTGTTTTAAAAGGTTAAATTAATACTTCCTCTTTTCCATATTAACTAAAAAATTTTGGCTTTTTTCATTGTTCAAAGTTAAAGATGGATGTTTGAAAATTTGATATTTTCTAGGAGACAAATTGCACTACGTATAAAGTTACATTTATGATTTCACAAAGGATCAAAGTGGAAGATATGATTTGAATTATATCCTTAAATATTTTTCTTAAAAAATGCGCATTGCATAACAAATTCAGTTAATATGAAATAGAGTGAGCATTAAGGTAAAAAAAATTAATACTATCAATCACTATATCAAAAATGATTATTAGCAATAATTAATTAACATCAATAGCTTAGTTGCTGCTAAATATATTTTTTAGAGACAATTATTAGTGATAATTATATTTTAGCACTCTTTGTAAATGTCGTTCAAGTCTATAGCAACATTAAATCTAATGACAATTAACTAATATCGATAAAAATTGACCAATCTATACATATTTATTGTCGTTAAACGTTATTCTTCTCGTAGCAAATGCATATAATTTTAGAGCACATTTGACCATGATTCACCCTTTTTTTAAAAAAATCATATTTTGACATAGAATTGTTATAATATTCTGTTGTTTTTTTTTTGAAAATTTCCACATTTTTTATGTTGAAACAAACCCCACTTAAATTCCTATATTTAGGGGTCTTCGTTTAATCACTCCCTCTATACTATTTAATGAAAGGAAAAGTGTGTGGCAGCAACTTTTACTGATCTAAAAAATCTATGTGATAGTAGTATTTAATTATTGGTTTCCTCTAGGAAGAAATATTGGTACAAAAAAGAAAAGAAACATATATATGTTGTTACAGCTAGCTTTACCCTTATTTTAGTTTTGAGTATGTATGTAATACTACATTTTAACCAATAATGGAAAAAGAAAGTACAAGTAAAACTTCTTTTTTTAGCTACCTATCATTCACTCCCCACAACGTCACACAAATTACTTACTTTTACTGCTTTCATTCCCCGCTTTTCTTGTTTAGCTTTTGGGATGTTCAAAGGTATATATACAAATCAAGTTTCATATACTTATTTCTTCTTCTTTTTACGTTTTGCAATCTTAAGTTTGGAGACGGACGACGCTTATTATTTAACTGACTTTTTTAAGCATTATTTTTTCTATTCAAATTATTTTTGTTTGTTATGTCTCCACTTCTTCACTTTTGATCTTATAATTGATGTAGGAGCTATACACATAAAAAATAAAAAAGGTAGGATGGTAAATAGGAAAAAGAGAGAAGGTTATTTTGGGAATAAGATGGATGGGAATTATTGTGAATGAGTTTGGTTAGAGAAAAAGGAAAGTGGAATAATATGCCAAAAAGGAAATAGTTTCCAGAATAGTCGAATCGAAGAGTACATAAGGGCCCCACATATTGCTCTTGAAACACACCAGTGGACAATACCTTTCTGACAATGTACCTCGTATTTAATAATAATAATAATAAATGTCACACCATCCTCATCTTCACCACTCTCTCCTTTTAATAAAATAGTAATTAATTAAAAAACACATGCCTTTTGATTTTTCATAGAATATGTGATATTTTGAGTCATAATTTTAAATTATGGTGTGAATATGTGATTTGAATTCATCCTTCTAAATTGTGTAAAAAACACTTATGATTCACATGAACAAGTTATTCCTATCATATAAGAGGATATTATATTAAAAAATAACTGGCTATTATTATTATTAAATAGTGAATCGCTTTTATAAAATAAATATGTGTATTTAGAATTACTTTAAAAAGAACATGGTAATATGTGATTTGTCAATGTAGCACCTTAGAATATTTCGATATCTTATTTATGAATAATAATTCGCTCATTTGGTAAGATTGTATAAGAATTGATTGTTTTTTTATATATAGTATTCACAACTTATGATTTTCTTTAAAATATTTATGGGAAAGACATACAACTTTAAAAAAATCAAATTATAACATATTCAAATAAAACTTCAATTTCATATCTTAATTTCTCAAACAATTTTGTACTCCAGGCTCAATTTAAGACCGAATGGAAGATTATGTATGATTCCATCCCATCTTTTTGTAGTAAAAAGATTCATGTGTTATTTATTTTTAGTTAATAAATAAATAAAACAACCAATTGTGGTTATTTTAATAAAATTAAAACAAATTTTTTTCTTATTTGGTAGTAATTTTACTTTCTGGGCAAACAAGCGTGTCACCAAATAGTCGACACTTGGCAAGGGAGAAATGGGGGAAAAAATTACTACAAAATACTTCATTTAAAAGCTTGATAAACATACTCCATCCATTTCAAATTAATTAAATTGTTGAGGAGTTTCAGACTTTTTAAGAAAAGAAGATTAAGACATAAATTAGATATAACTTTTCATTTTTACCCTTATTAATTATTATCAAATTTATGATTAAAATAACTAAACATTAATTAATAATTAATTCCAATACTAACTAGTGAAGGGTTAAAATTGGAAGAACATTCTAAAAATAGTCTTGAAAATTAAACAATTAAGTTAATTTAAAAAATTAAAAATGTCTCAACAATTCAATTAATATGAAATGGAGGGAGTATTGTGTATGTAATCGAGAGGCTAATTAATGATGCATATCTTGAATTGTAAATAGTGAATACTCTCTCTTCCTAATTACTTGTCCACTTTTTCTTTTTTTAATTGTCCCTAATTACTTGTCCATTCTGACAAATAAAAAGAACAATTTTTTTTTACCTATTATACCCTCAATTAACTATTTTGAAAAAGGTAAAACTTCTTGAAAATCCTAAGTTTTTAATTCATCCACTTCATAATTAGTAAGAGTAAAATAATAAAGTTACTATGTCAATAATTATTTTCTTAATAGGTGTGTCAATTCAAAAGTGGACAAGTAATTAGGGAAAGAGGGAGTACGTGTTTTGTGCTACCCACATCATGTAATGTGAGAGTTCTCAGCTAGGGGTGTACATGGCTAGGTTGGTTCGGGTTTTTCAAATATCAAACCAAATCATTTATGTCAGATTTTTAAATTTATAAACCAAACCAAATCAATAAAACTCGGGTTTTTCAACCTTGAGTCTTTTCAGATTTTTTCGGGTTTTTCAGATTTTCGGATTTTTTTGAGTTTTTCCGATAAAATATTCATACAAACATATAATTTACTTGTATTTCAACTATTTATGTAGTCCTATCACAATACAACTATCTAAGGTGTTTCTTAAGAAAATAACACAAAATATAATATGATTAATGACACTAAAATATCCAACAAAAATAATAATAATGAAATCGCGTAAAACAAATATTGCAAATTAACAAGTCATAATGAAAAATTATCATAATTTAAAAGTACTACATCATGCTAAAATAAGTTTAATAA